CCATCATCCTGCCCAGCAGTCATCCGCTTACGTTTGCAATAATTTCTCACTTTCACGAACGGAATCTGCACGCTGGACCTCGAGCTCTGCTTGGATTAATCCGATCCCAATATTGGCCTATTGGGGGGAGGAAAACGGTAACCAAGGCCGTAAACAAGTGCGTAAGATGCTTTCGAACGAAGCCTAGAGTATTGGAGCACATCATGGCGGATCTTCCGAAGGAGCGGCTAGACGGTTCTCATTTTTTTGAGATCACAGGCGTCGACTTTTGTGGCCCTTTTTTCTACAAGCCAGAGGCACGCAACAAGGCTCCAATCAAATGCTACGTCTGCGTCTTCATTTGCTTTGCGACTAAGGCTGTTCATTTGGAGCTGATCAAGGATTTGTCTACAGTCTCCTTTCTGCACGGCCTAAAGCGGTTCATATGCACAAGACGAAGGCCGCGACAAATTTGGTCAGATAACGCAACCAATTTTGTCGGCGCCAGGAATATCCTTTTGGATCTAAAGCGCCTATTTCTCAGCGACGACCATCAGAAGGCGGTCCTGGAATTTTGTTTGGTTGAGGCTATTGACTGGCACTTCATACCGCCACGCTCCCCGCACTTTGGAGGCCTGTGGGAAGCTGCAGTGAAGACGGCCAAGTATCACTTCTATCGTGCTATAGGCACCTCGGTGCTTGGATTTGAAGAACTGCGTACGCTGTTATGCCACATCACGGCAGTTATTAATTCAAGACCCTTAGTATCGATTTCAGAGAATCCTGCCGATCTTGACGTTTTAACTCCAGCTCATTTCTTGAATGGCGGACCTCCTGCTTCGTTCGCTGAGCCTGACGTAACTCAGCTAAAATTCGATCGCCTGAACGGATGGCAGCGCGTTTCATATTTGCAGAAGATCTTCTGGTCCCGATGGAAGGAAGAATACATCACTTCACTGCAACAGCGCTCAAAGTGGCGCACGACGAAGCCTAGTTTGGCAGTCGCAAATGTGGTCCTTGTTAAGGAAGAGAATCGCTTCCAACGGGGGGAGTATGTCGGGTCAAGCAGCATAACGCATATGCCTACGCCCGGCAGCGTCTGTTCTGGCGGCTGTCTCCCGCTGCCTTCGTGTTGCTGCTGCACCTACTGCGTTTAAGCAGCTCTCTTGCTCTACTCGGCTCAGAAGCCGAGCCTAACTATACCATAATGCTCTCACGCTCTCGTTATGCATAGGGCACGGGCAGTCGGCCCATTTTGCCCTGCGATCAGTCAGAACGTTCGGTCTATATACCTTAAGCAAACATATTAAATACGCGTACTGCCGCTACTAAATACTAATAAAATAAAATTGTAATAAATTTATCGGCTCTGTTCTTAAATTCAATTAAAATAGCTATTAAAAACGCTTAATAGCTCAAACAAGGGGTATATTAGATTTGTGGTAAAAGTGGATGTGTGTAACGCAGAGAAGGAAACGTTTCCGACCCCATAAAGTATATATATTCTTGATCAGCATCAATAGCTGAGTCGATATAGCCATGTCCAACTGTCCGTCTTGATGAGCGCCTAGATCTCAGAGACTATAAGAGCTAGGGCAACCAAATTTGGTTTCCAGACTCAGAAGAGACACGCTACTCTATCTTTTTCTCGCTCGCACTCTCTGCCGCGTTCGGTGCGCGAGCGCTCTCTAGCGGAGATGATGTAGAATATAAATGGTAAATGTACAATCTACATGTTAAATGTAGAATATACATTGTGGATGTAGATAACAGATAGCAAAATAATGTATAATGTAAATTTTTTTTTATTAATTCTAAAATTCTAAAAAATCGTAAGCTCAAAAATATATATACTGACTGAGTACGGGTATAAGTAGACTCGCGTCCCCAGAAGCTACTCACACGTTCCTTCTCGTTTATTTTATGTTTTCACAAACTTTTTGATTCGGCTAAGAACATTTTAAAAGAAACGAGAAGGAACGTGTGAGTCGCTTCTGGGGACGCGACTCTACTTATACCCGTACTCAGTCAGTATATACATTTTTGAGCATGATTTTTTAGAATTTTAGAATTAAAAAAAAAATTTTACATTTTAAATTTTTTTGCTACATTTGTTATCTACATCTCATCTACAATGTCTATTCTACATCTAACATGTAGATTGTACATGTACCATTTAGATTCTACATCTCCTCCGCTAGGGGTTGCTCGCGCACTGAACGCGGCAGAGTGTGCGAGCGAGAAGGAAAATGAGTTGCGTTGTCTGGAACGGGAGGGGGAGGGGAAGCAACTGAAAATGAATTTCTTCATTCTGGCTATAATTATGATCCGATCTGATTCGGCAATCTGGTAGATATGGGCATTCTCTACGATACTGCGTTTTTAGTTTTATCGTATCTTTAAAACTGTGCCTGCCACAGATTTTCGTCCTTTGTGTGGGCGGAAGGGGGCGGGGCGAAATTTTGAAATACACTTGTAGCAGTGTGATATCACATGAGTCTGGAAACCAAATTTGGTTTCTCTAGTTCTTATAGTCTCTGAGATCCAGGCGCTCATCAAGACGGACGGACGGACAGACGGACGGACAGACGGACATGGCTATATAGACTCGGCTATTGATGCTGATCAAGAATATATATACTTTATGGGGTCGGAAACGTTTCCTTCTCTGCGTTGCACACATCCACTTTTACCACAAATCTAATATACCCCTTAACTCTTTTTTGAGTAGGGGTATAAAAATAAATGAATTCAATATGGTATGCAGCAGTTAAAACTTAAGATTCAATTCGACAAAATCTACCGTAATTTGTTTTAGTAATAGAAGACGTCCATTAAATTTAGTACATAACAATGAAACACTAAAAGAGGTAAGTAAAGTAAATTAACTTGGTACAATAATTGATGTTAATAGCTCCTCAGTATGTCACATTGATGAAATAATTTCAAAATCAAATAAGAATAACATGTTTTTACAAATGCTCAGTGGATGTCACTTCGGAGTTAGTCCAAGCAAATCTTTAAATTTTTACAAAGCCTTGTTCTTGTTCTTGCTCTTGTTCCTCATTTGCAAACATTTCTAAGGTGGTATGTAACTAAATTAAAGTTCATATAAATTTTCATCTTAGGCGAGCACCAGGTCTAATAAAGTCCACCCCGGTAAATATAATTTACAATCTAGCTGCCGAACTTCCACCTGAATACAGACTAAAATTTATTACAGCTAAGGAGGCTGGCTAAGGTTTTTGTCTATGTTCTTCCGGCATCATCGCTTTTGGTCAGTTCTTTTCCGGCACGGAATACCAGCTACGCCAAAGTCTACGACGAGTTTAAAGACATTTTGAATGCAATTGTACCGATCACAGATGTACGTAGTTTTAACAGCAAAATTTCAACCGACACAGATTTTTTCAAGGGCTCTTGTCCAAACAAAAGATCTGCAAGTAATGTTCTTATAAATTCGTTAGCTCAAGAAAAATTAACTCATTTAAAATCTAAACACTTCAATTTAATTTTCACGGATGGTTCAGTCACAGACAATTACGTGGGTTGTGCCTTTATCCATAAAGAATCAGGATCCGTTAAAAGTTTCTTTACCAACTAAAAGTTATTGTCACTCACAGCTGAGCTTTTAGCCATTAATAGGGCCATTGACTTTGACATTTCCGAAAACTTTCTTAAAACTGCAATCCTCACTGATAGTCTAAATGGGGTTTTAAATTTAAACAAGATCAACCCAGATAATAACATTGCCAAAGAAATAATAAACAAAATTGAAAACGCTCCCTGTTTGCTCGTAGTGGAATTTCATTACATTCCAAGCCATGTACACATAAAAGAAAACGAATTAGCCGATATTGCTGCAAAGAATGCTAAAATTAATGGCACATTCTTTATTTCTCGCTGGCCTCTTAAAGACGCCATTACAAATATTTATAATAAAATTAAAGAAGATTGGGAAAGAGAATATATTACTTACGCCACGGAAAGAAATAAAGGTTACACAAAATTATTTCCTTATATACGGGACAAACCATGGTTTAAAGACAAAAACTGTAATCTAAACCGTCTGGAAATCAAACAAATTAACAGACTACTAAGTGGTCACGGAATAGACAAAGTTTCGCTTACTAGAATGAAAGTAATAAATAACAATTTACATATGTGATTCCTGCAACCTATCAGAAGACACTTCACATATAATTTTTATATGTCCCGCTTACTCTCAAGAAAGAAATCGTTTTCCAGTACTCAAATCCTATACTGATATACATCGTTTCTTTGAAAAAGAACCTATCGCATCTTACAAATACATTGTTGAATTCATACGCATCGCAAATATCAAAATTTACAAAATCAAGCACGCCCAGTCGGACCTTGTAGAAGTGCCCAGTCGGACTTTATACCTTCCAAGAAGCACTTCTAGAGCGGTTCTTTTTCCTGGAAGCACCAGTGATTTATACATGACGGTTTGGTTTCCTAATTACACAGGGCGAAACACGCCAGCACCGGTACATTTGGAAGTAGGTAGGAACCGTTCCTTTAGAACGCATTGGGAACTGGTGGTTGTTGTAATTTCAACTTCGTGAAACGCTCGGGTTTCGCTTCCAGTTGTACTTTCCGAAAGAAGCATTACAGAACACATATTTGGCATGCATCGAGAACCGTTCCATACGAACCTACTAAGAACCGTTCTGGAACTGTTCCAATGCAATCATTCCTTATCACATCCCTGGCATGTATCAAGAACCGTTCCTTGAGAAGGTATGCAGCATGCATGAAAGAGCGTTCTAAAAGAACGCAAGATTAACCCATAAATACAAAAACTATACATTTTTTTTAATTTGATTTATTTAATATTTTCTTCACTAAAATATAATACAAAAAATAAGAAAAAGTAAAAAAACGAAAAAAATTTTGGAAAAAAATAAAACTGAAAAAAAGATAAAAAAGAAATGAAAAAAATAAAAGAAAATTAATTATAATAATAATAATAAAATAAAAAAATTAAATAATTGCCGTCGTCGTCTATGATGAAATCCTTGTCGTGGTTGTAGCTATTGTTTTTCTCGGGGATGTTGTTGCCGTCGTTCCTGTCGGTGTCTGCATGTTTTCTTGCAAGGCAGGAGACCGAGTAAATGCGATTATTTTCTTTGGAGAATGCCGTACTTATCAAAAAGAAATTTATTATTGTTTTATTAATTTTGGCAAAAGTTTATTAATTTCAAATACGATTTTTAATGTTTATGTCCACCCTAAACAGTTCAATAAAAATCCGAACAAGGTCCACCCTAAATAAATTTCACTGCATGAACATCGTGAACACTGAAACATCTCTCTACTTGTATCATATATATACCATATACATATATATTTACACCACTATTAATACTTACAGTGCGTTTAGTTCTCCTTAGTTTGAAGAACTTATGTATATCGCATTCCATCGTTGAGGTTATGTTCATGTGCATGTACATGTTCAAAGAGAAATATGTATATTATGCATTATTTATTGTTTATTTTAATATTCTTAGGGTGCAGGCCGAACTGCCACAACAATCTGCCAATACTTACGTGGTAAAATAAACGGTTTTAGGCACTTAAGTTTCACTTACAACAACCACCAGTTCCTAATGCGTTCTAAAGGAACGGTTCCTACCTACTTCCAAATGTACCGGTGCTGGCGTGTTTCGCCCTGTGTAATTAGGAAACCAAAACGTCATGTATAAATCACTGGTGCTTGCAGGAAAAAGAATCGCTCTAGAAGTGCTTCTTGGAAGGTATAAAGTCCGACTGGGCGCTAACCATTTACTAACAAAGCATCATACATACATAATGTTGAATATGTAAACTTAAACAACGCACTGTGTCTTCTCTATTTTTCTTTCTGTTATGCATTATCCAGCATAAGTAAACATGTATGTATGAGTCGCAATGAAGCGGCGTTCTCTCGTTTCCCTTTTTGATTTGTATTCCGTCTGCCTTTGACGGACATCTTTTTGCTCTTCATATTTAGTCATCATATTTGAGAGCGCGTCAACCGTCAACGACTACAGACGTATTTTTGTATCGCTCCGCGGTGAAAATCAATTAAATCAATTAATCGCGATTAATCATAAATAAAATTCGCGAAAAAGCGCTCGGGGTAGGCATGGGTACTAGTGATCGTGCTGCCCATGAATACCATCCAATCGAGTAATAAAGACTAATAGAAATAATAGAAAAGAACAAATGTCAACGTTTAAGAGCACCAGCTCGGTAAAGAGCACAAGCACTGTAACCAAAGCCAAAATGAGCCAAGCCCGGCAACAACAACAAGACGAGCGTCGGCTCTCGCAAGCAAAAAACAACGCGTACTTCTCTATACGCTCGCCAAAGGCAGCAGTACCAACAAAAACTGCATCACTGCAAGTGAACGAAGAGAGAGCACGCTCTCTCCTCCTGCATTGCAAAGTGGGTCATGGAGTGCTCAGTGCCCATCCCCCGACTCGTACTGCCTAACCAGCGATTTGCTAATATAGACAACAACTAGTACAATGCCCTCGCTCAAAACTGTGTCTTCGACCACAACAACGACAACAACCACAACAACAACCACTGCAATTGCTCAGCGCCCGATACTGTCGACCCACTGCGACAAGCCCCAACTCTCCCAACCAATAAGTTCAAAAAATGCTAACGGAGCGTTAATTCAGACTGGGCTCGATCGCTATGTGCAAATCAAAAGAAAATTGAGCCCACAAAATGTGAAGAACAACAATGCAGCTAAAATAACTAAAATAACCGAGAACACTGTGCCACATAAGGCACTAGCAAACAATAGATTTGCGATACTAAGTGTCCCAAATGAAGATGAGATCACCCAAACACCCAAGGCCAAAAAATTAAGACCGCCACCCATTTATGTTCGACAGGCAAATTGTGCTGAACTGGTCAAAAAAATAACTGATACAATTCGCGCAAACACATTCTATGTCACGTACATAAAAAGGGGTAATATAAATGAAACAAAAATACAAGTCAATGACGAACAAAACTATCGATCAGTTGCGAAATACCTCGAAAATGAAAAAATGAATTACTACACCTACCAACTTAAAAGTAGCAAAGGATTACAAGTGGTTATCACAGGAATCGAACCAACAGTCCCAATCAATGAGATAATAGATGGACTTAACGATAAGGGCTTGAAGTTCACCCAATATACAAGCTTCAATACCTACTGCACCGTAGGATCACCGTTGAGGAACCACACAAACGAAATGGACCGGTCCAATGCACAAATTGCCAGGAATATGGACACACGAAAACCTATTGCACTCTACGGGCAGTCTGCGTTGCCTGTGGTGATGTTCATCTCACTGAGGCCTGCCCCGTAAATAAGGAGGACCCATCTGCCAAAAAATGTAGCAACTGTGGGGGAAACCATACTGCCAACTATAGAGGTTGTCCTGTCTATAAAGAATTGAAAAATCGCCTAAACCAACAAATAACTGCAGCTCTAAACCCGGTCGTCCGACAAAACTTAACATATATACCATCAACTACGACTCCAGGAGTTTCTTTTGCTCAGGCGTTAAGTTACAACAACGGGTCGTACGCCTCAGTCTCTAAGCCGACACTTCAACCAACCACAGCTGGAATAATGCAGAATCAGGCATCAAATCAGATCCCAGAAATCTCTGCCCAACATACCCCTGCTAATCCATCCCAATTGCCTAGTGGAATTGAGTCAATGCTGGTAACTATAACAAATACAATGGTAGCAATACAACAAACGATGCAGGAGCTTATGCGCAACCAAAATCTCCACCTGGAGCTCCTAATCAAATAGAAATCTGTTTAAATGGCCTGCCTAAATATATGTTTCTGGGTTGCAAATGGCATTTCGCAGCACAAATGCGAGCTCGTACAGTTCCTCGCTCAACACGACATTGACGCCATGCTCATATCAGAGACTCACCTAACAAATAAAAACTATTTTCACCTCGATGGCTATAACTTCTATGCGACAAATCATCCCGATGGTAAGGCACATGGAGGTACTGGCGTTCTGATCAAGAATCGCATTAGGCATTATCCATTGCCTTCATTTGCTACACCTTATCTACAGGCAACAGCAATTCATATTGAAATTCAGAGCGGCTACCTAAACCTAGCCGCAGTATACTGCCCACCACGTTTCTGCATTTCCGAAACAGAATTTGTAACATTCTTCGACCTACTAGGTGACCGATTTATAGCAGCTGGTGACTACAATGCCAAGCACACCCATTGGGGATCTAGACTTACCAACCCGAAAGGAAGACAACTATATAACGCTATAATAACCCCACGAAACAAGCTAGACTTTATCTCTCCGGGCAAGCCCACATATTGGCCCACAGATCCAAACAAGCAACCCGACTTGATTGATTTTGCAGTTACACGAAGGGTGCTGCAAGCTCAGATTACTGTAGATCACTTAACAGATCTATCATCGGATCACTCGCCCATTCTACTTCACCTTTACGACCATCCACAGCTTTCGGAACGCCCACACTTTCTAACTTCTAGCAAAACAGATTGGCTCAAATACAGGAAGTACATAAGCTCTCATATTGATAGCTGCCCAAACATAAATTGTAAAGATGACATTGATAGGTCAGTCGAAGCATTGGTTTCCTCAATGTCACTGGCGGCAAAACACTCAACACCAATATTAGCATCTAATAAACTTTCCAACAGCAGTCGTATTTCTAGGCACATTGAAGTGCTGCTACGCGATAAAAGAAGGCTTCGCCGAGAGTGGCAAGCACACAGATCACCTGCATCGAAAGAGCGGCTAAAAATAGCCAACCACCTACTACGCAGAGCCCTAGAAGATGAAAAAAACCGAGCTCAAATATCCTATATGGAGCACTCTCCCCAACTAGCAAACGATTCCCACTGTGGAAAGCAAAATCAGGCGTATGCCCACCAATCGAGAGTGAATCACCTTTGCGTACACAAACAGGAGAGTGGGCTCGCAGCAACAAAGAGAAGGCAAATACATTTGCCGTCCATCTAAAAAACTTCTTCAAACCGCACCCAGCAACGAATAGCTTTGTGCTCCCACCAACCAACAATCCCGAAGCTACTCCGCCTATCATATTCCAATCAGGAGAAGTCACAAGGGTCATTAAAGACCAAATCTCAAAGCATAAGAAAGCTCCGGGCCACGATTTCATCTCTCCTAAAATGATCATAGAATTGCCGAGCTGTGCAGTGTATTTCCTTACTATGATATTCAACAGCATGATGAAATGGGGCTATTATCCTCAAGAATGGAGGAAATCAGTCATCACAATGATCCATAAAGCCGGAAAAGACAAGTCCAAGCCATCATCATATAGACCTATCAGCCTACTGCCTTGCCTATAAAAGATATTTGAAAAGCTGCTCCTGAATCGTATCAAACAACACCTACACATCAACGGTGCCATCCCGACTCACCAATTTGGATTTCGCGAAAAACACGGAACCATTGAACAAGTAAACCGTATAACCTCTGAGATACGAAATGCATTTGAAAGACGGGAGTATTGCTCCGCTGTTTTTCTGGATGTCGCACAGGCTTTCGACCGCGGTTGGTTAGATGGCTTAATCCACAAAATCAAAATATTACTTCCACAGAACATCCATGGAATAATGGAGTCATACCTACAGCAAAGAAGTTTCGCAGTACGATGCAAAGATTTCCTCTCTGAATATCATCCAATTGAAGCTGGTGTACCGCAAGGCAGCGTGCTTGGACCGACACTGTATATCATATTCACAGCAGATCTACCGACAAACAGCCTAACAACAACTTCGACATTTGCTGATGATACTGCCATATTAAGTCGCTCCAAGTGCCCAAGAAGGGCCACGGATCACTTATCATCTCATCTCGTGGCCTTAGAAATATGGCTAGCAGACTGGCGGATACATTTAAATGAGCAAAAGTGCAAGCATGTCACCTTCACGTTAAACAGACAAACTTGCCCTCCATTATGTCTGAACAATATCAACATTCCACAAACCACCGAAGTAACATACCTTGGTGTTCATCTGGATAGAAGGCTTTCTTGGCGTAAGCACATCGAAGCGAAGAGAAATCTACTTAAATTTAAAGCTAGTAATTTACATTGGCTAATAAACACCCGTTCACCACTAAAACTGGAGTACAAAGTACTTTTGTACAATGCAGCTCTCAAACCCATCTGGACATACGGCTCCGAGCTATGGGGAAATGCTTGCGTTAGTAATTTAGAAATAATCCAGAGAGCTCAATCGAAGATACTAAGAACTATCACTGGGGCACCATGGTACATACGGAATGAAAATATCCATAAAGACTTAAATGTAGGATCAGTTAAAGATGAAATTGCCAAAGTGAAAGCAAAGTACCAGGCCAAGCTTCAAGCCCATCCTAATAGACTTGCGCAGTCTTTAACTTGGCACACTAGCCATACACGACTCCGGCGAAGAGACCTTCCCACCCAGCAATAATACTTAGCTAGGGACGTACTCTAAGTAATTAAGTGTAAATAATTAAATAAATATATTAGGCTAAGATTTGTATACTTGTCGTAAGTCTCCAATAGGGAAGATTCGATAAATAAAATCCCGTAATAATATAAAAAAAAAAAATATTTAGTCACAAATAAATACCACAACGAATAGGTTATGGGCCCAGAATTTCTGTCTGCGGCGGTTGAAAGTGATTTTTCTGACTTTCTGAAATTGTGACTCGATCGATTGCGAAAATGGGTTCGTCTTTCCATTCAATCGATAAGCTCGACAATGAGAATTATAGTGCGTGGGTAATCCAAATGAAAAGCGTGCTAAT